GGGAATATTCTTTGGCCCCAAGATGATCACCATCATGGAACACTGCCATCTCACTTCTGTCTGCATGGGTTTGAGACTTGGATCAGACAATATTGGTATGTGAGAAAGCTGCCAGTAGCTTCTCGTTGGTCAGTGGTTCTTTCCAGTGAATTCCCATGTTCTTCCTCCACCATTAATATTGACCGCCATGTATAGCCTATCTTGGGCTGAAAAATGGCATTAAACCCAATAAAAACATGACATCAACATCAGAACAAAAGTGATTTAACATGAGTTACTTATAAATTGGCAAGCAGCCATGGATCTATATCAAACATGGCTGGTAGAGTTGAAGATTTATGAGGTTGGTTTGCTTCAGATGCTTTATTCTACAGGGGAATATTGTTTTAATTACTGCACACCCCCACCCATCTACCCAAACTATTTCTTAGATCCATGGTTAAAACAAATTACATGACAAATACAATAAAAAGCAGCAGGAAAAAAAATACTTAAGAGAATCAACGGTTATGTTTAATTGTTTTAAATGGAAATTAATTTTTAAATCAAATTTTCCGATGAATGAAGTCTGCTGATGAGATTATTTCATAAATGAGATACTACTTATTCAAATCTTTTTGTGGAATCGGATCATGTGCTTAGATCCTGTACCAGTATGAAACCTAGATGAGCATTTCGTTATGCCTGTATAACGATTCATTCCTCAGTTGATTCAAATGTTCTCTTGTTGTTTTTAATCTTCATCTCCTTCTGTAGTGTACCAGTATATGGAGATTCATTATGTTTTTTTTAAACATAACTCAAGATGTTTCTTCTCATTAAAGTTTATACAGGTCTTTAGAAGTATTACTTTTTAAGATGGATAAATGAAGGCCTTGGATGTATTTAAAACTTACACATACTTGGAAATCCTTGAAATTTTAGAGAAAACTCAAACGTCACCTTCATAATTTTCTGAAAAAAATACCATCATATTAATTGTAGTGATTGAAACAGAAATTAGGAATATTTATAAATAAATATATTTTACTTCGATTGAGGTCACCAAAATGAAGTACATATTTGATCATGATTACTTTTTTGTGACAGGGAATAGACAGAAAACATTCATCTTATAAAAGCTAGTCTTTGTTGTTCATGAAATCAATTATGGCTTAGCTAATTTATTGCTAGGGCTTTACTAATTTATTATTTGGGCTTCGCTAATTTATTATTAGGGCTTTACTAATTTATTATTAGGGCAGACTGACAGTTTTCCTTGAGTTACTTCACTAGAAGTATTTTCAGCATAAATAAATGGTTAGTGATTAGTTCATGTAAATAGAGGGCTTGTACAAAACATGCTATTAATAACAGTTTGTAATCAGCACAAATGGTTTATGAACTTGCAGTTGCTTGAATCTTACATTTTGGAGTGTTTTGCCTTTAGGTGTTTTATTACAAGCCTTAAATTCATCCACTTTCATTATAAATTGCTTAAATTAAAAAAACTTAATTGAAATTTGAATTTTTCTTTTCTTTTAGGAAATGAAGCTTTTGTTTAGAGCCTTCATGTGTCATAAAAAAAATGAGGGCTGTTTCACGGGGTCAAAGGTTACTTATAGGCGCTTTGTGTAGGAAGTATATATTCATGTAACTATAGTATTATACAAGGTGGACTGGACTGCTGATTTGTACAAATTTCATTACATTGTCAGCTTTATAATCCAAAAATATGTAACAAAACTGTACATAGCTTAACATAAATCCATCAGAAACTTACCTGGATCCAATGGCTTTACTGCAAGTTAGCGCTTCTGGCTTTTGGAGTCTGCATTTCCCTTTTCAGAAAAGGAGCGGATGGTGCAGGTTCGACTTGAGTCGATTACCATGTTGTCACTTTATTCCAATTACCTTGGCACTAAATCGGCTACCTGTGTTGCAGTAATATAAAAGACCAAATAAAACCTATTATTTTTTCCAAACATAGGGTTTTCTTTTTAAAGTCATTGTTTTTAAAAATTTTAAAAATCAAGGTAACTATGAAGACAATTTGTTCTACTTATGAAATCATTTGTTGCAAAAAAGTTTGACAGTTAATTTTATTAAAAGGTGAGTTGACAATTTAATAGTTTGAGGGGTTTTTTTTCTGGATAAAGGCTTTGAATTGCCAAGAAGAACCATTATGGTTTTATGTGCTTTAAAGTCGATTCTATGGTGGTTATATATGAATATCGAAACTTGAGCAATCTTCTGTGTGCCAAAAATTGTATGTACATGACTTGTACCATTACACAGAGGTAACTGTTGCTCAAAATGGTCTTATTTAATCTCAGACCATTGACATGTAATTTGAAAGCTTTGGTATTCCTCTCAGCATTCTATAAACCGACAATCCAAATTATCTACAAATGTGGGACACCACAGCACCACGAGTTTTTGAATTTCTTTTCTACTTCATACTCCATAAAAACATTAGGTACATTGACTATCACCTTATGCCACATGGATACATCTACTTGGATACATTGTCACAGTAATCTACTTGGATACATTGTCACAGTAATCTACTGAGATACATTGTAATAGTAGTCTACTGAGATACATTGTAATAGTAGTCTACTGAGATACATTGTCACAGTAATCTACTTAGATTGTCACAGTAATCTACTGAGATACATTGTAATAGTAGTCTACTGAGATACATTGTAATAGTAGTCTACTGAGATACATTGTCACAGTAATCTACTTAGATTGTCACAGTAATCTACTGAGATACATTGCAATAGTAGTCTACTGAGATACATTGTCACAGTAATGTATTTAGATACAGTGTCACAGTAATTACTGAGGTACATTGTCACAGTAATTACTGAGGTACATTGTCACAGTAATATACTTAGATACATTGACTATCACTATAGGTCTGATGTAAGATTTTCTTACCTTTAAGTTCAGTTTGATTTGGTTTTAGTGTGAAATGAGACAGTCAGACTTCATGTAACTGAAAAATCAGTGTTAACATTTAAATTTAATGCTGTATTATTGATGTCCTGTTTGTCTATTTCTAATGTGAACAAATGATTTCATTTGATTTTTACAGTGCATGCACATATGTTTTATTGTGTGGGTGTATTCATACAACACTTGCATACCAGTTAAAATTTTTAGTTATCATGTATGTATTTAAAAAGCCTATATTTTTATATAAATCAGAAGAATCTGATAGTATGGTACCATTAGCCAGATCCAAGACTTGGATATTACTGTTAACTATGCAAGGTCATGTGCCATTGGTACAGTCTGAAGGGTATACCAGTATCCGATTTCACTATGTCTGCTTACTAGAATCTCAATTACTGTAGTTATGTACATAAGGTAACATGTACAAAGTTGTCTTACTTGATACTAATCACTTTGAAAATTTAGTCACTCATTAGAGAAATTCATATTTTACTAGTACTTTCGTTAGCATGTATATGAAATTCATCATTTAGAAAAAGATGTACTTGAAACTTTTGGATCACTTGAACTAATGTGCTTTTTCTTGAAATCATCCATTTATTTACATTTGAGGATTAAAAAATTGGGTATTTTAAAAAGTAGTATAGACAGTAGTTTAAATTTAATTTTTGTTCAAAACTTGTTGCTCCACAAAACTGAAGTTTGGTTTGATTTGTATGGCATCAGTCTTGTTCATCACTTGCAGATTTTGTAGAGTTTTAGCTTCATATTAACTTTCCATTGAATTCTTTATCATTCAGCGCAAAAAAAGCAATGTGTACTTTCTGATATGATTCTGTTGAAGATATATTTTTATTTGAAATTTAGATAGTGGGAAGCATTTGTTAACTTCCAGCAATTTCTTTGAAGATAAAGAGGAAAATGAAAATTTTAAGCAATATTTTATGTGCACTGATGACGGTAAAAAATAATAAGAATGTCATTTACATCATATTTGACTTTCGTAATCCAAGGCATATTTATATTTATATTCTGTCCTGACTTGAGACTTGTTCAACTTGTATAATATGCAGACTTTCCATTTTATAGAATTATGCCTGGTTTCATTTTATAAAAAAACATGTCTTGTATTGTATCATTTATTAGAAGACAGTTTAAGTACATTTCATACATGTTGTTATGCAACTTGGAAATTTTTTACTGAAATTTTAAAGACAATAAAAATTCAATCAACTACTTGTTTCAGTTTTATTTATTTACATGTGTGTCTGTGTTCACATTCGCTTAGTTTATTAAAGGTCTATAGCTGGCTTTAGATGTACATAAACTCTTCTATTTTACCTTAAAGTAGAACCATAAACTTTAAAGAGTTGTGTGATTTTACAAACTCAACATTTTCGGCATAATAAATAAACTATCCAAATCTGAACTTGAGGAAAGGGATGTAATTCTAAAAGTGTCAATCCACTGACTGTCAAGTCACCTGGAATGGATACCTGTATTAAAAATGTTAACCCACTGATTGACATGTCACTTGGAATGGCTACCTGTATTGACAGTGTCAACACACTGACATGCCACCTTGTTTGAAAGACTTTTGATGTTGTTTAGGTTGTGTGTCATAGAAACAAGCAACAGAACTAATGTCAGTGTGGGCCAAAGACAACATGGACAGGGAGGTTTCTGGAGAAATATCAGAAGTTGGTGTATTTACTGATAAATCAGGTTGTGAAGATGACCCTCCCTAACCCTACTCCTGATTCAAGCAGTGTGGAATCAATCTCTAAGGAAACAGAGAAGGGAGACAACTTGCTAGTTGAGGTCGGACTTACTGTTCCAAATGACCATTGTGTTTTCTTGACCTTTGTTGTAATAGATAACACAGCATAAATTGCCATCATCTCCGATTGCCTAAAAGAAAAAGCATAAAGTGACACTGCATACAGCAGGTTGAGATAGTAATCAATTTAGTAGTATGTTTGAACTGCCAATCAGCCAAAAACATGCATGACTACATTGTAGAACCAATCTCTGGTCTTCATAGATGGATATGAACTGCTCTGGTGGCCTAGTGGTTAAGAGTGTCTGCCTCAGATGCAGGAGGGCATGGGTTCAAGTCCTGGTCAAGTCATACCGAAGACTTACAAAAATGGTACTTACAGCTTCCTTGCTTGGCACTCAGCATTGAGAGGTTAGTGATAGGACTGGTTGGCCTGGTTTGGGATAATGTGACTGGATCGGATATTATGCTACATGTCTGCAGCATGATGCCTCAGTGCTAGACATCACTATAAACTGCCACACTGCAGACATCGTAGCGATATGACTGAAAAATTGTTAACGCTACATTATAAATTATAATCACATTATCACATCACAAAAACTGATATGACTATTTTATAGAACAAGTCTCTAGTCCTCACACACTGACATGACTATGTTGTAGAACCCATCTCTGGTCTGCATACACAGACATGACTACATTGTAGAACCAGTCTCTGGTTTTCATAGACTGAGATGACTACATTGAAGAACCTGTCTTCACACACTGATATACCAAAACATGCATATAAGACTTTCAGATCAAAATTGTACTTGATTAATATTGGTGATTGATACAGTCCTGAAAAGACCAAATTATTACAAGTGGAACCTGATGAAATGGACTCGATAAGTCCTCAAATCTTGAGAAAAGAAGTTCATATTTATGAAGCGGGCACTGCAAATGAGACAATCAATTGCTCCAGATCGCACATCAGTACCAACAGTTCTAGCTCATCTACTGCAACATTTCCCAAACTACCTTCCACCTCAGAAGATTTCTAAATTGGCTGCGTTGCTATACACGAGTTACACTTCGATGATGCATTTATGAAAGAAGAGTTTAATCTAGGCAATTTTAGAGACACAAAAAATTAGTACTGAGAAAGCACAACTAATCCAACATGGAATGCAGAAAACTCCCATCTGTTTCATGAAAGAGGAAGAGATTCGTCGTACTATATGGTTGCTGAAGTGTGTCTGAGTTAGGCTTTTTAATCAAGCAAAATATTTTCAAAACGTTGCCATCTCTCAAACAACTTCAAAGAAGTATTCTTGCTTAGATATACTGGCCAAAATGAACATATGAATTCTTTAGTTGAAAAAATATTGTGGCAAAATAAAACAAATATTACCAGTTGGAATGAAAATCCCATGCCCCTGCCAAAAATTGTTATTGGTAGTCCTTTATTCAAACCTCTGTTATGGAAAGAGCATCAGCACTATTATTGAGAGTTGGATGCAAGAGAACAGCACTGATATATGGACTATGGGGAAGAAACTAAGTCATGCGAGAGAGCAGCACTGATGTATGGACTATGGGGAAGAAACCAAGTCATGCGAGAGAACAGCACTGATGTATGGACTATAGTGCATAAAATTTAGTGATGCAAGAGAACAGCACTGATAAATGGACTCGGCAAAAAAACTAAGTCATGGAAGAGAACAGAATTGATATATGGACTATAGGGCATACAATTTAGTGATGGTAAAAGATGTTGATGCACTTACATCAGTGTCCATTAGTAGAAAAATGCCTGAATACACTAGCTGAGAATGAGTGTCTTCCATCAGCATCTATTGGTATGAAAATGGATATACTAGCTAAGAATGAGTGTTTCACTTCCACCAGTGTCTATTTGGATGACAAATGACCAGATACACTAGCTGGCAATGAGAGGTTCACTTCCATCAGTGTCTATTTGGTAGACAAATGACCAGATACACTAGCTGGCAATGAGAGGTTCACTTCCATCAGTGTCTATTTGGATGACAAATGACCAGATACACTAGCTGGCAATGAGAGGTTCACTTCCATCAGTGTCTATTTGGTAGATAAATGTCTAGATACACTGGCTGAGAATGAGTGGTTCTCTTCTATCAGTATACCTTGGCATAAAAGTGGATACACTAGTTTGGAATGAGTGGTTCTCTTCTATCAGTATACCTTGGCATAAAAGTGGATACACTAGTTTGGAATGAGTGGTTCTCTTCTATCTGTATACCTTGGCATAAAAGTGGATACACTAGCTTGGAATGAGTGGTTCTCTTCTATCAGTGTTCATTGGTATGAAAATGGATACACTAGCTCAGAATAAGTTGTTAACTCCCATCAGTTTCCATTGGAAGACAAATGCCTAGATACACTGGCTGGGAAAGATTGGATATAAATTAGGCATACTGGCAAGTAAATAAAACTGAGGAAAAGAAGACTCCATTTATCCCCAAATATGGGCTCTTCACGTGTTATGGATTGGATTTGTTTCTTCACGTGTTATGGATTAGATTTGGCTCTAAGAGTGCTATGGATTGGATTTGGCTTATATAATGATCATGCTATGCTCAAGCCATGAACTTAATTAACTGAAAAATTTGACTTGCTTTTTTAGTGAGATGCTTTTGCTTCATCAAGATTTGAGTGCATATCTTGAAAATTTGATCAATGTGTTCCTATGCTTCTGACAGCAGTTCAAGAAATGTAAATTTTTGCAAAGAGAAATTGAGTTCCTTGAAAGAATTGTCAAAGAGGCAATGCAGTTGAAATTAGTTACTGATCTCCTAGGGTAATTGATTAGTGGTCACACCAAGAAATTCCTATGATTTACAACTGACCACCATGATTTCATCAAGAGATAGCTAAATTAGCTTTCCCCTGTCCAGTATTAGACAACAGACAGGCTTTTTGCAGGGTGATACAGATGCTTTTTACTTTCGATAATGTAATCAGAGTTGAGCTATTGAGTCAGTGGTAACTAATTATAGTTTTGCCCTAACCTCAAAACACAATAAGAACGCTATCTTTTGCATGCTTTACCAAGCATTTACAGTGAGGACAGATCACAATAGTTTAACATGGTTCCTGCACAATAACATATTGTCAAGAATCTATAAAGGCAAAAGCTGCCTAGATAAATGTATATGCTGTACTATATAGCTCACTAATGTGGAGCTGGTTTTGTGTGAGACATTGATGAAGTAATACTACTTGCTCTACTACAATGCCATTTAAAGATAAACATGTAGCAGAAACCATGGTGGAAGCCATATCTCATCAACCACAAGATAAATAAGAAACCTCGGAATTGCAAGACTATTAGATGTTCAATAATGATCCTTGAGCCCAGGTAGATGCGGTAGTGGGACAAGGTGGATGGGGTGGAATTCTGTAAATGACCTTTGGGACAAGGTGGTTTGGGTGGAATTCTGTAAATGACCTTTGGGACAAGGTGGATGAGGTGGAATTCTGTAAATGACCTTTGGGACAAGGTGGTTTGGGTGGAATTCTGTAAATGACCTTTCCTTTGGGACAAGGTGGATGTGATGAAATGTAGAAATCTGAACACGCAATTCACGGTGAAGAGGAGTGACTAATTGTGACCAGGATGGCTTTCATCACTCTTAATGAAATGCCTCCAGTTACCACAAGCACTTACTCGAAAAGAGCCAAGATGGCTCCAAGAGTTGATCAAGATGGCTTCAAGAGATGACCAAGATGGCTCCAAGAGATGACCAAGATGGTTCCAAGAGATGATCAAAATGGCTCCAAGAGATGACCAAGATGGCTCCAAGAGATGATCAAGATGGTTCCAAGAGATGATCAAGATGGCTCCAAGAGATGACCAAGATGGCTCCAAGAGATTACCAAGCTTGTTCCAAGAGATGACCAAGATAATTCCAATAGATGATCAAGATGGCTCCAAAAGATGATCAAGATGGCTCCAAGAGATGACCAAGATGGCTCCAAGAGATGACCAAGATGGCTCCAAGAGACGATCAAGATGGCTCCAAGAGACGACCAAGATGGCTCCAAGAGACGATCAAGATGGCTCCAAGAGATGACCAAGATGGCTCCAAAAGATGATCAATGGTCATCCTTTTAAAGATACTCAACATTAGAACGGAGTGAGACGCAGACAGTAGACCACCATTTTCTTCTACTCTTATCTTTTGGAAATGGAAAGAACTTACTGGATCATTAGCATTGTACAGTTGGATCAACAAAGATATATTCATGATCCGAATGGGAGGAGATTCACTGGCTAAAAAGGGGAATTTTCATGGCTCCCTAACCTACCGCAAACAAAGGCCAGCACCAGGGACAACCTTACAACTCCGATGACAAAGCTCAGGTGTTAACTGTGTTTGTGGCTAAGGTGGATATCTTCTAGATTCCTATGAAGGAGCCGTGACCTGCCCTCCAGCCCTTCAGCGGATGCTCCAGCCAAATGGCCATGGCATTTACCCTATCAACAAAACTAGTAACTTTGAGATTGCTCCACTACAAGACTATAATGGAAACGTCCTTGCACAGCGAAGTTCTTACCAAACCGACAGTTTATGCAAACATGACTGCACCTAAAACCACCTTCTATGGTTATTCCATTCGTTGCAAGATCTACGACAAGGTTGGGTCAACCTTTGATGCGGGTGATGTATGGGAAACCTCTGGAAGGCATCTGACGCTGGGAATGTTACCTCCATAGATGGGGAACAGGCTGTCTTCGAGATTCTATACCACAGACTGTCAAGATTGTAAATCTACGCTTACTTTCCCATCCAGCATCAGCGTAAGATATTCTTGCATTCCAATATCAAAGCCTGCTGCACACACACACACACACACACACACACACACACACACACACACACACACACAGAGGCATTCCTCCTTACATGCTACAGCCTTCTTCACCCAATCAGGAACGTTTTTGTCAATGCAGCTGATTATTTGTTTAAATAAATCAAAGTTTAAAAAAAGGGTATCAATTTTTTTCCAACATCAACTTCGAGTTTACAGTAATATTATGGTCACATTGAATGTTTAGATTGTCAATTAAATCAATATATTCTGAATTGACAGACATTGAAAGACAGTTTAGTAAACAAATAAATGTTAGTACATGTACTTACACTTCCACAAACTATCCTGGAATTTAAGCTGAATGATCACCGATTTAATATTGATCTGTCTAGTGTCTTTTTAATGTCAGGTTCAACTTGGAAGAAAGGAACAAATAACTAACCTTTATTATTACCGCCTGTAAATGCGTATAAATTAAATATTATTTGAAGGTAGTTATTACTCTTAAT